GCTCTCCTTTCCTGGAATGGGATCAGCTCCACCCCAGTGTAGGATTGTAGGATCATGACCAGGATTGGGATCGGGATCAATCCCAGCTCCAGGAGGGAACACTCACCTTGTTGTGCCGGGAGATGGACTCGTAGGAGCGGCGCACGGTCCCGAAATCCTTGGCCTTGTCCCGCAGGGAGGATTCCATGTTCGCCAGCTTGGCCTGCGYGGAGGAGACGCCCTCAGGACTCCCRGRATTCCCCACATGGAGAAATTCCACCCYGAGATTYGGATCATCCTTGGATCCTGCCTAAATCCAGCTCCCACATTCCTGGGATTCCCCACATGGASAAATTCCACCCTGAGATTYGGATCATCCTTGGATCCTGCCTAAATCCAGCTCCCACATTCCTGGGATTTCACACTTGGATAAATTCCTCCCACACCGGGATCCAGATCCTTGGATCCTGGCTTGATCCAACTCCCACATTCCTGGGATTTCCCACATGGATAAATTTTCCCTGAGATTCAGATCCTTGGATCCTGGCTCAGTCCAGCTCCCACATTCCAGGGATTTCCCGTGGGGATAAATTCCACCCCAAGATTCGGATCATCCTTGGATCCTGGCCCGATCCAACTCCCCCGTTCCCGGGGTTTTCCGCATAGATAAACCCCACTGGGATTCAGATCATTGGATCCTGGCTCAATCCAGCTCCCACATTCCAGGGATTTCCCATGGGGATAAATTCCACCCCGAGATTTGGATCATCCTTGAATCCTGGCTGGATCCAACTCCTGCATTCCGGGATTTTCCACGTGGATAAATCCCACTGGGATTCRGATCATCCTTGGATCCTGGCTCAATCCAAYTCCCACATTCCCAGGATTTCCCACTGGATAAATTTCCCCCTTCTTCTGGAGCCGGGTCCATGGATGCCAGTTTGAACCAGCTCCCGCATTCCCGGGATTTCCCGTGGGGGTAAATTTTTCCCCAGGAGCCAGATCCTTGGGTCCTGGCTCGATCCAGGTGCCAGATTCCTGGGATTTCCCACTGGATAAATTCCCCCCTGGGATTCAGAGCCTTGGATCCTGCCACAATCCAACTCCCTCATTCCTGGCATTTCCCATGGTGATAAATCTTTTCCCAGGATTCGGATCCTTGGATCCTGCCTTGATCCAACTCCCGCATTCCCGGGGTTTTCCACATGGATAAAACCCACTGGGATTCAGATCCTTGGATCCTGGCTCAATCCAGCTCCCACATTCCTGGGATTTCCCACGTGGATAAATTCCTCCCCAGGATTTGGATCCTTGGGTCCTGCCTTGATCCAACTCCCACATTCCCGGGATTTCCCACATGAATAAATTCCTCCCCGGGATTCAGATCCTTGGGTCCTGCCTTGATCCAACTCCCACATTCCCAGGATTTCCCATGTGGATAAATTCCCTCCTGCCCAGGATTTGGATCCTTGGATCCTGGCTGGATCCAACTCCCGCATTCCCAGGATTCCCCGCATGGGTAAATTCCCGTCCCCAGRATTTGGATCCTTGGATCCTGGCTGGATCCAACCTTTCCCCTCTGGCAGGTGGGATTGCAGGAGGAAGAGGAGCTCTGCTCCATAGGGAATTTCCCTCTGTGGTTTTTTGGGATGTGCCATCCCTGCCCATCCCAGTGCTGTGGGCAACCCCATTCCCATCCCGTTCTCACTACCATTCCCCATTCCCACTCCCATTCTCCCTTTCCYATTCCCCATCCCAGTTCCTATTCCCATTCCCATCCCATTCCCACTCCTGTTCCCATTCCCCATTCCCATTCCCCATTCCCATTCCCATTCCCCACTCCATTTCCATTTCTCACTCCCATTCCCATCCCCCATTCCCTGTTCCCATTCCCACGTCTCCACT